CCATGCTAGGCTGCATGGATGCACAGGGAGTTCTTGCCCAGAACAGAACCATACCGCCAATCCAAACTGTATGCTAATTGTCAATCATCTTTGACGATAGTGGTCCTGACAGAACCGCATATATTATATATATATATTTTTTTCACCTCAAAATAGGCCTATCCATTTCAAAAAATCATAAAGGGAATGGCTTGTGTCTTTCCCACGCTACCCCAGCGATTTTAAATCACTAATTTGTGAAGCTTTGAAACCTTTGCAAATCATTTGTTTCGAATCAGTGATTCGGAGCACGTTTCAAACTGCCGAAGTCACGTGATTTCAGTGAATGAGGCTTTGTTACGTCACAACGTTTTTCTAAATGTTCGGATATTTCAGTTCTGTCAATTCAGTCAAGCCATGAACCAGTGTCTGTATATTTTTTACCTGATCCGGGGTTGATTTAATAAGTTTGTTTGTATACATTCTTAATGACACATCTGTATAATAAAAAGGAAGAGCAGTCGCTGATTAACCATATATACACATATTATACAGATACTAGTTGCATTTAATAGATAACACTTTCAATAAAACATTTACAATGGGTTTGTTAAAGCTGTTTTTATTCATGTTTTAGACTGAGTTTTTGTTGCATTTACACAGTTTTGACCAGTAGGCGTCATTAGCGTTTGGCATTCGAGCGGTTCGAACAAGTGAATCGTTTTGCGAAGCAACTGGTTCAATTGATTCAAAGTTTCGAAAAGCTTAGTTTCTGCCATCACACTGTTCTGTGCTGTAATTCTCAAAAGCTTTGATCTAAATTGATTGTTCTACGATCTCGATGCTTTTGGGAAACGCAGCCCTGGGAGATGAGCGGGTAGGAAATTCCGCGATTGCTTTACGGCAGCAACAAATGCACGTACACAGCTATCCGACAGTGATACTACAGTGAATTCGACTCAAAGGGGGCTTCAAAGTCGCAAAAATACACAAAACTACACATACAGTTGCTTTATGACCACTAAGACAAACAAAACTGGTGAAATCAATATTCACTAAAACGTTAAAACAAATCTGTTGACAAGTTTGTCACTAGAATGAAGCACCCATTAAAACTAAATATATTAAAATTCAGAAAACCTAATAATGTGATTTCTTGATTTTGCCACAAAAATAATGAAACATCAGAAAAAAAGAGAATAAAACGGACACACATTGTCTTACTTACACATCCCTCATAGAAGTTCTTGATGTAGTTTAAGGACATGATAATGTCTTTTTTTCTTTAAGTTGAATTACTTTGTAATGCCTGGCCTTCATTTCAGACCTGTTGCCTTCTGCTGAGCTCCAGCTCAAACGCTGCTGCTCCTGTTGACTTGTGCTGCATATTTCCCTTTCATCTGCTCTACCTTCCTCCGTTTACCCACGAGGTTCAAAAAGACAACAAAAAGGTAAAAACAAAAGGACTGGACATGTGGTTCACACATAATCCCCATTCAACTACATCAGCAGAAAAAAACAGGCCTTTGAGGCATAAAGGGGGAACAGCTGACAAAAAATACAACAAGCGTACGGCTTAAAATAAAATTAAAGAAACAACTTAAACATGGGAATAAAACAAATGCAGCAGCTAATGTTTTCAAAACAAGCTTGTAAATGTTTTTAAAATATAATTTATGCCTTTTTGGAAGTTGCATGCATATGCAAACATGCATGTATAAATACAGTCATTTTTGCATGTAGCAAAAGTTCAGTGGAAACACAATGAACAAACAAAAAAGAAATATATATTGAAAATGATTATATTTTGTAAACTTACCAGCCTGAGCCCAAGTGGACAGTTTGTCCTCCTCATTTAATCAGGCACAAAGCAAGACTTCATGGGAAATAATTGTCTGTCCCAGCGCTGTCAAAGCTGATGAGATCACTAATGGAAGATCAGCATTTACCCGTGTGGCTTTCATATGCGATTCCATGCAATTCCATGCAAACTGAGGGTCATACTGTGCGATCCTGAAAACATGCTGCTCTGAGAGCCGGTCTCTGCTGATAGACCCTTTTCACACTGAGATTAATGTAGGCTTGGTCAGAATATCTGTGCTGCTCAGAGCATTGGTTAGAGCTGCAGTGGACTGTATAATGAAGAACTTTTTAAGGAGATGTTGGAGTTTTATGCTAACTGTGCATGCATACTTTCCAAATTATTTGGTCTTGTTTAAAATAATTTTATAAAAGTAAAAAAAAAAGATTTTGCATTGTTACATTATTTCATAATAATTATAAGCACATTACTGCAAAATAGTAATTTTTCAATTTAAATCAGCATCGACTGAAGGTATAGTACCATGAGTACAGCCATGCTGCACAAATTCTTTTTATACAATTTAAATAATATTATAATTTTTTTTTCCATGATAAAGTCATGAGAATTTGTTTTTATTACATGGCAATAATGGAAAATCGCAAGAAAATATGCTTAGTTGTCATGCAACAAATCCCACAATGCAAAAATCAATCAATCAATCAATCAATCAATCAACCAATAAACAAATAAACAAATAAACATACAGTGCCTTGCAAAAGTCATTTCTTTTTTCAAAGTTATTGTTTTTTACATTTTGTTATGTTGCTGCCTTATGTTAAACTTCTTTAAATTACTTTTTTTCCACAACAATCTACACTCCATACACCATACTGACAAAGCAAAAACAGAACACAACTTCGTACATTTATTACAAATAAAAAACTGAAATAAGTACATTGCATAAGTATAAAACACGCACACACACACACACACACACACACACACACACACACATATATATAAATGAAGTGAAATATGGCATGTTCTTGACATTTCATGAGATTCACAATTTCATATTATAATATCATATTAAAACAGCATAAATTCTAATAATTAACTATATAATATTGTATATAGTTGTTGTTAAAATGGGGGAAAATACAAAACATTTGTAAATGCTGACAAACACATTTCATACAATTACTACTAATCTCACAATGCAAAAAACAACACCAAAAACAAAAAGTAAAATAGACCTGGACTTCTTGACATTTCATGAGATTTACAATTTCGTATTATAATATTCAAATTCTATATGCTCTGATTTGTTTTGAAATATTTTTTTTGCTTTATCAGATTTCACAACAATCAGACAGTGTTTGACAGAATTCACACAGATATTCTCAATCTGTAGAACATGACTTGAATCTCAGCGCGTTGGACGATCCCTCCTGATTATTTTGAGGTCTGTCTGCGTCCCGCAGCTGCTGCGTTTGTCCGGTCAGCCTCTCTGAGAGCTTCTGCTCCTCTCACTCACTCCCTCACTGCTCCTGCTGGTAAGTGTTTCCCCACGTCTCCTCCTGAACTTTACTCAACAATCATGCACTGTCTTCATTGTTTTTTTTTTTTAAATGTGAAATGGTTTGAATGCATGTTTGATTGTCATACGTTAAAGGTAAATATATATCAACTTGTGTTCAGAATGAAAAGCATGTTTCAGTGTAACAGCACATGTCTTTAGACTCAGTTTCTGTGTTAAAGTCTTGTGTGTCTGTTGAATCCTTGTAAATATCAGTGCAAGAGGAATGGAAACACTTTCAAATGCATGAAGGTTCAGTCAACTGGAAGGCAGAAAAAACATTATGAAATATAAAAATTTATTTAGCATTTTTTTTAATGCATTTTTTTTTTTATTAAATGTGCAATGCAGTTTTACAACATGTCATTTGAACACTCATGAGCGCTGACATGCTGGAGAATAAACAGACAAATTGACCATATTAAGAGTCTCTTGAAATAGACTCCAGGCCATGAACAGGTGCCATGTGCCGTTCTTGTGAAAGGGGAAGTAATCAGCCTGGACAGAGCGACTAAATTTAATCAGATGAACAGGGCAAACAGACAGTCGCTCCATAGCTCAGAGGATAAACAACCCCAAACAGCTCTGCACAATAATTAAGTGCAAATATATTTAAAGCAGTCATTACACATCATGATCTGATCTGTCTGTGTGCACTTTTAAACATATATGGGTGATTTGTCTAGTGATTCTAAGAACTTTTAAAGATTCCTTTAAAGCATTAGTTTTAAAGTTTAAAGTAGTTTTAAATTATTTATGAATAATGATATGTAACCCTTCTCTCCCGGGTCCTCACTGCCACACCTCGTTCTTGTTCCGAGTGGGTCTCGAACCCGGGTCTCCGGCATGGGAGGCGGACGCACTAACAAGG